GTGGGGACGCCAACTGCTTGGCTTGAAACACAATAAAATCTTGAATCTTGTATTACATGTAACCACACCAATTCTTGTGGATATAAAAAACCATGATAATAAAAGCACCAACAAACATCTGAGTGATTTGTTTACCGAGTTTGACCCAGTTCACCATACGTTAATCCTGTTAATTAGCTGTACTAAGTTTATAATCCCAAATTAATCACGCGCTCCTTATCAATCCCCTCAATTAATTACCATGAAGTGTTAACTATCCCACACCGCAACGCCCAAAGAACTGCGCGTACACAGATGAGGTATGTTGATTTACGTCTATTTTCAATTCTTATAAGGATACCAAATCATGTAGGCTAGTCAGGCAAACCTTTTTTCGTAGCGGTTATCATACTTTCATCAAAAACCTGAACCCGCTTTTCAAGATGCCTCGACCTCGTAAGAAGAAATTGGGATTGACTTTGGGGAAAAGGAGGAGGAAACGGTCTTCTACAGTTAAAACTGATGGCTCGAGTGAATATATAATTGAAACTAAATGTCCATGCTACTGAAACCCGTATTCAAGGTATTATGTTTCATACTCCGGGTTAAAACACACTCATATTGTATAACATTACTAATTATTTTAATCTTCATTTCATTCACGAGTGCACCGTTTCGTTCATTGAGCTTACATGTACTTATTGAGTCGACCAATTCCGTATTAACACGTGGACTAGCATCGAGTTTTTTAAAATGTTGAAATCGTTTATTTGGAGATATTACGAACCAAACAGACATGTTCGGTTCGTCAACGACTAAAGTATCTGTCGCTGGCAAGTGAAATCGGTTTCAAAAGTTTAAGATTTAAAAAGTTATGACAACTTTTGTCATTTTTTCAAGTTTTTGTAAATGTAAACAAAGGAGGTTGGGACCCTAAGGCTTTTTTATTATTTTATCGACAGAGATGTGATTGGTGTCTATAGAAAGTAGAATCAATTCCCAGAGCATGTGCTATACAGTATCGCCATGCAAACTTGCTGTGAAACATAATCTCAATTTTCGTAGGACAAGGTCACCATTTTTCATGAAATGGTATGTATTATTCCGTATTAATGTCAACAATTTCACTAATACGGAACGGTATACAAGGGAGAGTGATTACATAAACAAGTTGATTATTTCAAAGTTTTCATGATCAGTATAAGTTCAATGAACTTACAAAATTGTATATACACGTAGATGATAAACGTATACAGTTGGATCTCCGTATAAAGCTTTACCTACTGTACATGTGTGTGGAACAATTGACCGCAAGCATTTTTTAAAATTAATTGGCCGAGTAGGAACAGTATCCAATCAAATACTTTAACCATCAATTTGAAACACCAATCAAACCAGTAGATTCTAGCAATTCCTGGAAACGACCCATTCAGTAGCTCAACAAATGACATACAGGGTGTTTCATAACGAGCATCTCAAAAAAGTCAATTTGAAGAAGATCTTTCCTGACGAAAAGCCCATATTATGAAACACCTTGTATGTTTTCTTATAAGTATAAGTATGCGTTATAAGTTGTATTTTACGTATGTGCGAAATCTCTTCGAATTTTCTTCATTTCCCCCTATCAAGGTAATTATACCAAAGTCCCATCGAGGGCCTGGGCCAACAGTCTTCAAATTCTTCAATGCTTCATTTTCTTCATTTCCCCTTATCAAGGTAACTATGGTAAAGCCCCATAGAGTGTCTGGCCCATCAGTCTTTAGATTCTTCAATTATTCTTCAACTTCTTCAACCCTTAGCTTTACTCCCCTTTAACACCATTCGCCTTAGCACACAAATACTGGTGTTGGCATTTTGTTAAATATGCACCAATCGTCTCCAAAATTCTTCATAATGTACTTTTATTATGTCCCCACCACATAGTGTGGGGCCATATTGTCGTCCTAGGCGCGTCCGTCCGTCCGTCCGTCCGTCTGTCTGTCTGGTTGTCTGTCTGTCCGTCCGTACGTCCGGCAGTTTTCTCCAAAACCGCTACAGGTATCACCTTCTAATTTTCAGGAATAACTTATGAGTGCCTATAGATGTGGATGAAAAAAATTTAACTCGAAACCTACTTCCTGTCGGCCATTTTGAAGTCAAATGCTAAAATCCTTGTCTGCAAACTTTAAGAAAAACTGCTTCACAGTTGCTTTTAAAACTTTAACATCTTGTTCAGCTCACTTCATTCTAGATCTGACTAGGTTTTGGACCTGCTAGCTCAGTCATGTCAGCCATTTTGAATGTCTTAAGAAAAGTTAGCGCGCGATAATACTTTGTATCATATTGAATGGTGTTTTTGAGTTTTCATACTTTAACTATTTAGTAGCTTTATAAATAATTTCAGATGTACTTTGCTGTAAAAGCCTACTTTATTGTTAACGGTAGTTATATGTGATAATTTTGTAAAAAGAAATCAGCAAAAACTCATAAGGACTTTTTTATTGTCGGCCATTTTGGATTTTTCGGTCCTAAAATCTTGTCTGTGAAGTCTTGTCTGCGCATTTTCAGGTGAACCGTTTGGTGGATCAATTTCAAATTTTCAGGGATGATTCTTAGTATAAAAATCTAGATCTCATTAGTTTTTTGGCATTCTGGGTAAATGTCAAGGCAGCCATTTTGGATTTTCCGTCCTAAAATCTTGTCTGTAAAGTCTTGTCTACTCGTTTTCAGGTGAACTGTTTGGTAGATCAATTTCAAATTTTCAGGAATGATTCTTAGTATGAAAATCTAGAACTGATTAGTTTTTTTGCATTCTGGGTAAATGTCAAGGCAGCCATTTTGGATTTTCCGTCTTAAAATCTTGCCTGTAAAGTCTTGTCTACGCGTTTTTAGGTGAACGGTTTGATAGATCAATTTCAAATTTTCAGGGATGATTCTTTGTATGAAAATCTACATCTGATTACTTTTTTGCATTCTGCGTAAATGTTAAGGCAGCCATTTTGGATTTTCTGTCCTAAAATCTTGTCTGTAAAGTCTTGTCTACCCGTTTTCAGGTGAACCGTTTGGTAGATCAATTTCATATTTTCCGGGATGATTCTTAGTATGAAAATCTACAAACAGATTAGTTTTTTGACATTCTTGGTAAATGTCAAGGCAGCCATTTTGGATTTTCCATCCTGAAATCTTGTCTGTAAAGTCTTGTTTACATGTTTTCTGGTTAACTGTGTGACGGATCAATTTCAAATTTTCAGGGGTGGTTCTTAGTATGAAAATCTAAAACTGACTAAATTTTTGGCATTCTGGGTAAATTTTAAGGTGGCCACTTTGGATTTTCCGTCCTCAAATTGTGTTGGTAAAGTCTTGTCTACTCATTTTCAGGATAACCATTTCACGGGATCACCACTTGGTGGGGACATTTTGTACACATTTGTGTTCTTGTGTATCTTTACTAAGACTGCAAAGTTTCGACAAAATATATGAAACTCGGCAAGAGTTATGGTTGCTACAGTAACATGACATCGCAATACCCGGGGCAACATTCCTCGCGAAATGTTAGAGACATTAAGCATTTTGTACATCCCATATCATTTTGTACATGCCATATCAAAGTTGAAATGCAACAACTGGTGCAACTGTTTTACATCATTTGATATTCCTATGTATCCTCTACTTTTAAAAATAGACTCTTTGGTCAGTACAAGAGTAGTAGGCTACTATGTATCCATGACCCAAAAACATGAATGAACCCATTTGAGGACATGTCACGCAGGGTCGATTGGACAATTTGGAGAAGGTCTTTCTCATCTTTAAAGGTCTGACAGCACTATTAGCATTCTGTTCTCAATATAAGTAAAAATTAGATATTGCATGATCAGAAGAGTATGGTGCATGGTTTTAGACCTCAAGACCTAGAGCTCCTCTTTAGCTGCATGGTCTTTAATGGTGACATGCGGGCAGGCGCACTATCAAGTTGGATGACTGGCTTCAAATAGGGTCTTTAAAAACTCGACCGTAAATATTGTTCATGATCAGAAGTTGTTATCCATGATGATATTCAAGGAAGTTGAATAAATATTATTATCATTATGAAATTATACTTGAATCTGAGTTGTATAAAAACATCTTTACAAGAAAGCAACTAATAAAATAAACAAGAAATGTTGTATTATAATAGGTGAATTAGATACTTTCTTCAGTAATACAAAAATGTTAGATATCACATTTTTAGGAAAAAAGTTGCCCCGGATATTGGAATGTCATATTACTATAGTAGCCATAACTCTAATCGCATTTCATCATTTTTTCTGAAACTTTACAATTTTAGTTGCAATACTTCAGAGTACAATTTGTGAAAATTTGAAGACACTCGGTGCAAAATTGACAAAATGCCAGCACCAGTCCTGTTACTTTTGGAACACCCTGTATAAGTGGCACTTTTTGAATCATGCTTTTTGAATCATGCACAATAGTCTGTTGTGAATAATACTTAGGGATTTACCCTGGAAAATTATTATGTTATGTCACTCATGAACACAGTGGGGAAATCGCGACCGATGACTAAAGTTTCCGTTCCAAAAATGGCGGCTGTAAAGGTTGTATTTTTGCGTTTGTTCCAGATCTTGATGATAATATAACTTATTAAACGTCCTCCAGCCACGGACCACTTTTCTTTTGAATCATGGTACTGAACAGCTCAGTTTTTGGCCCAAAATTTTGAAAATTTCGTTTTTGATCATTTGGCCAAGTAAAAATTCTAGGCCCACCCAAGGGGGACATGCCAACAAGGTCACTGTTGTGGCGACTAAATAAGGCAAAATAAAAGGCGAAAGTCCCTCTTTATAAATAATCGACCCTCTTTATTCAAAGGGTCTGTTTGGCTCAACATTGGCATTATCATAACCATCTGTGTATCTATAATCAGCAATGAAAATACCATTTCAATGACTATCTTATCTCAGATACGTTGTCGTTAATTCATGGTCAATAAAGGAACGACTTCAGGCCACAGTGTCTAGTCAAGACTTGGACCTCAACAGATAAAGATGGTACTTCTAACATCAATAGTAGTGCAGTTGGGTGAGTACAACGCCAAAAAATAACTTCACATATGTGTAATCATGAAGACAGCCGCTCTTTCAATAATATCGGTTGAATTAATTTGGAATTGAAATGAAATTTCTTTATAGGGTTTTACATAACTATCGTCAAGAATATCATATATACAAAATAGTATTAATATGAGAATAATACTCATTTATCGTTGTGAATTTTGAGGAAACAGTCACACGATTTAACTGTATAGATGTAAAAAACTCGATCACGTGCAGCAGTTGATTTGCAAAAAGAAGTGATACGAATCCGGTTGTGTCAATTTATCATTTCTACCGGCAAGCACCTTATGCAGTTATGTTACATTTGTCCAAGATCGGGGAGGCAAGCTTATCTATTTGGCCCTTACGTGTCGTGAAAGTTGCTATCAATAGTGTGATTATAGGTGATACTTATACATTTATTATCGTATGAATAGCCACAACCATTTTCTTGATCTCATTAACTTGCTTACTTTTAGCCATTGCTGTCATCGTCTCTGCCCAAGATAATGGCCGATGTGACGGACGCATGTGTCCAGCAGTTTATGATCCAGTATGTGCGAGTGATAAAAGAACATACAGCAACAAATGTCGCTTCGCAATTGCAAAGTGTGAGGTCGAAGCTGCCGGCAAAAAAGAAACATTGACCATCGTGAATAAGGGAAAATGCTCAGAGAAGAACGTTGAGGTTTGCAACGGAGTGTGCCCAGGAATCTACGCACCCGTATGTGGTAGCAATGGAAAAACATTTGGTACGTATTATCAAAGCGATACGTTCGCCACCCATAAGGACTCCCACTATTCCATTCATATTTAAATGAGTTGATCATAAAATAGTAGGTTAATCTGCTGGTAGCCGACAGTCGAAAGTTGCATACGCGAATACGAGCTTAAATATGAAACGCCATGGTCAATTCATAACGCATTTGAGCGACTATTGTAATGTTTTTATTATAACATACAGGTGTACATTTTGCTTGTTTTTAGGAAATGATTGTGAACTTGAAATTGCTCAATGTGAGAATATGGAACGCGGAGGACCAGCCCTTACCAAAGTAAACAATGGCAGATGTAAGGCACCCGTGGATACTTGCCGCAAACCATGCAATAAGATGTTGAGACCTGTGTGTGCAAGCGATGGAAGAACTTTCGGTTAGTCGTTACGTTATACTTATTCAGAATTGCCATTGAATGATATTTCCACATTTGTGACATTTTTTAGCCCAATATACACATGGAGTACCCAGGCAAAGTAAAAGTCAAGAGACCCACGCAACAAAAAGAGATCATATTCATTCTTCCCATTAGATAAAATACAAAATGAAAATACTATTTGTTTATTTTGTGTGTTAGTACCGTCTTATACATGATTTCTCACTTCATTTCTCATCCGTATTTTTCATACATACATACATACATACATCACTTTTCTGGTTTTCATTTTTAAAAAGGTAACGACTGTATGCTGAGAAATGCCGCATGTATGGCTAGAAGGAACGGACAAGTTCTGACCATGGCGAGTGAAGGTAGATGCGCAGTGAAGAAACCAGAGGAGAATATGGCAAATACGTGCATGCGAGCCTGCCCAAGAATCTACAGACCTGTTTGTGGTAGCAATAGCAGAACATACTGTAAGATATGGTTTAACCCTACCGAGATATGTAAAATATTAATGTCTGTTTCCCCTTTAATTATCATGAGTTATAAAGCCGGTGTAAAAGAAATTATGGTCCCCTGGGGATTATGGTCCCCTTTCCTCACGGGCCTTACTGGCCCCGACTGTGTATAAATAATAAGGAAAATAATTGTAATTAGGTCACCATATAAATCAATAGAGAGTAGGACCAAAATTTGATAGGACCACCTACCCTTTTACACCGGTAACATGAATTAATGACATTTTGAGGGTACACGAGATTTAACTTTTTTAGGTTAACTAAAATAACAGCCTTAAAAAATAAGAGACATAATAAAATATTTTCATCAGTGGATCAAATACATACACCTAGCGTACAATATTATAAATGTGCTTTTAGAACTTCCAACTGACGCCTTTTGAACTCCATAGAACCCCATCAGGGTTACTTATCTAATTATAATTAAGCTATTTTAATTTTTAATGCAGCCAACTCATGTGAACTGAGCATAGCTGCATGCAGATCAAGACAGGCGGGTGGACAGCAACTGACAGTGATGAAACAGGGAAGCTGCTAAAAGACGAGACGTTATAAAGTGACACTCCCAATGAAGATGATCGTTTATGATTAAAATACTGTACTCTAATAATGTGTACCACTGTTCAAAATTAATTTCAAAATAGATAAGACTTAGAAATTGAATTATTTGTTCCTCCTTTACATATTAAGATTTGTACAATATTAGGTTATCTCTTCAGAACTCAAAAGGCGGTTGTAGTTAAATATTAGATGCATAGACAGTGGATTGCTACAGTGCAAAGATGTAGATCAGTACTTATATAAGGCATAATGAAATCTACAATACTATAATATGATAAAATGGAATGGAGTACTAATATTTCAACGATCTTGGGGAACATTTCTCAAAATCCATTCAAGTCGTTGAGATCATGACATCATGGTACAGAACCAGATCAGAATTAGCCCCAGATAACATTCAATAAATCTGGAACGTCCGTCATACCTATATTACAGGTCGGGTAGACTATTGTTGCCTGATTTATAGCGAAAACATCGCCCTTTGCATGTTAGTGATGGTACGTTTCAGTCCAAAAATACTATACTCCTCAAAAAAAGTTAAGGACCAGTGGTTTTCCTCATATATGTCATAGGTTTACATGTTTACCCCCATATTTGTTTGAACTACTATTTTTTAAGCGGGGAACAAAAGAAATCCCAATAAAGTAAAAAATAAATCTGTAGAGAGATTTCGCACCTAGTGAAAGTACAACTTATAACGTAAACTTATACTTATAGGTAAACGACGTACAAGGTGTTTCATAATGTGAGCTTTTCGTCAGGAAAGATCTTCTCGGACTGTAATAAATACAAGTCAAAGGGATGCCATTTGTACTTGTTTGAATTGTAGCATGTTTAGTTGATCCAAATGTGTTTGTCTAGAATAAAATAGGCTCATATATAGTACATATATTATAGACCCATCTCTTCTCAAATTGACTTTTGGAGATGCTCGTTATGAAACGCCCTGTATGTCATATGTTGAGCTACTGAATGGGTCGTTTCCAGGATTTGCTAGAACCTACTGGTTTGATTGGTGTTTCAAATTGATGGTTAAAGTATTTGATTGGATACTGTTCCCACTCAGCCAATTAATTTTAAAAAATGCTTGCGGTCAATTGTTCCACACATGTAGGCAAATCTTTATACCGAGATCCAACTGTATACGTTATCATCTACGTAAATATACCGTTTTGTAAGTTCATTGAACTTATACTGATCATGAAAACATTAAAATAATCAACTTGTTTATGTAATGACTCACTTTAAAGAATCATGACTCCCTTTAAAGGATCGTGTTTATAATACACTACAACTACAAGGACACGGAAGCAAGCATTTAATTATAATGTGCATAATCTACACGTGCAGATGACAGTGCATTCATAGTCTCTAGTTGATGGAGCTTTTCTATAACGGAATTAGTTATGTTCCATTAAGTACAATTTAAAAATACTTTCTAAGTAGAAAAATGTGTGGTTTTACATTTTACATGCTAAATGTCTCGCTTATGTTGTTAAAATTAGCGATATGGAGTGTTAAAGTAATTTTGACCACCTCAATGTGTTATTTCAATAAGAGGATCATTGAAAAATTATGGAATTTGAAACAATTAACTTTTGTAAAGCCTGTACAACTAAATCATATTTTTGTCGAGTAGACAATTTAGCAAATTTAATTATCTCTTACAATTTCAATTTTGAGAGCAATCGGATGGATGGATCGTTCCTCATATGACTTATTGCAACCCAACCATTCCCCATTTGTTTCACATGGGATCTGCCATTTTTGTTAAATTTCATGAAATTCATCAATTTTGACATCAAATTTTGATCCAATGTAATGGAGATAACATTGAAATGTTGCAGACTTTATAGGGAATAGAACCAAGATACAGATTTATTTTCTTTATTGGGATTTCTTTTGTTCCCCTCTTAGAAAATAGTCGTTCAAACAAATATGGGGGTTAACATGTAAACCTATGAGGAAAACCACTGGTCCGTAACTTTTTTGAGGAGTATAGAAGACCTTATATATTTTGCCATGTACTGTGCTTATTCATTTAGCAATTGAGTTGTTAACTTTCTCTTGAAAAAATAAATCTTCCATATTTGTTAGACTTTCTTGCAGAGATCACCTACTCTTCCCCCATACCCTTCCGTTCATTTTGTCAGATCACCGGGCGTGATTATGCAGAATGCAGATCTAATATGTGATTCAACGAGACTGTTACATAGAAAAAATAAAATTCAAAATATAGAAAACATAAAATTCAAAATAGGATAGATCAGCCTAAAATAATTTATTTCCTTTTGTCTAAAAAGGATTTACATTGTAAATCTGCAATATCATTAATCACTAAATATGCAAATACAAACAGACACATCCCTCATGTAAAATGTAATGAAATCGTGTAAAATAATTAATTCTGAAGTACACGTTTCATTTTATATTACCTTATTTTTTACATCAATTACAGTATATAGCATGATTGGTACTATGGATCTATTAAATTACTTACAGTTGAGAATCATAATTTTTGGTAATAGTTTGTGCGTTTTGTGCATCAAGTACCCTCTCCGAGACAGCAATGAATGCACATACAGGTAGTACTTCGATCCATGTCAATTCGGGTATGAAATGGAAACAATTTGCACAATAACACTTCAACATTAAACGCAATGCTTGCACCACAATTGAACATAATGCTCTGATGTACAGTGAAATACAATGTTCACAGGGAAAGTAATAAATGGCTCAAAAATGCACATTTGTGAGAAAGGAAGTTCAGACACTTATACCATCACTTTAAGAATGGTCTCTTAAGTTCCTATAAAATTACTTGAATCTCACAGCTGAATCTCATAGATCTTAATTTCTTCCATAATAGACTGAATCTACATATACAGGGTGGGCCAAAAATAAGTTCACCCTTTTTCATTTTAATCTCATTTTTATTATTTTTGATGCAATCCCTTAAAAAATTGATATGTAGATAACTGAGACATTTCTAAACAAGGTAGATATATAACATTAGGTGTGTCTTTGGCTGTTTTGTTTTTAAAGTAAATGTTCAATATGTCCTCTTTGTTCCTGCACAACCAGTTTTAGTCTATGACGCCATTTATTTATTGCCGCGTTAATTGATTGTTGTGATAATTGTTCCCAACATAAAGTTATTCTTTGTTGGAGTTCTTGAACTGAATGGATGGGAACACTATGAACATGTTTTTCTAGTTCACCCCCCCCCCCCCCCCCACAAAATAATCCATAACATTGAGATCAGGGCTATTTGGGGGCCATAAGTCAGGGGGGATAAAATCAGGTGCATTGGCATGCAAGAACTCCATTGTCGCTTTAGATGTGTGCGAGGGAGCCCCATCTTGCATGAACAGAATTAAAAAGGTATCTTGTACAAATTATATTATGTAGAATTTAATAACTTATTCATTTGTAATTATATCATAAGTGTATTATATAAAACCATCAAATTATTATCAATATTGTGAACGTAAAAATGAGGAAAATTGGATAAAACCATGGATTTTCAGTAACTTGTTGACCAACTCATCTATGGTAGTATCGGGTGTTTATAAGAGTACTTAATTGTTTAAAGAGGTGTTTATCATCAACTCTGACTATTAATTAACACTCTACTTTGTAATATTTTGCATTAACTGACATGAAAATTATATTTACCATGATAACTTCTTTTCAAATTTCCCTCCTTTTTTGAAATCCGCCATTTTGTAAATGAAGTGAATTTCTGGGTTTTTTTCATGACACACCATACATATATTTTAGGTGTCATGACAACACTGTTGCATAAATTTCACTCAAATCCTAACAACATGTACAGAAATGTCTGAGCTATATACATATCAATTTTTAGAGGCATTGCATCAAAAATAAGAAAATTAGATTAAAATGAAAAAGGGTGAACTTTTTTTAGGCCCACCCTGTACATTGAATCAAAATAAATCCTTATCCTACCAACACCTGAAATATGTAAAATAAATTCTGATTCTAATTCACATATGTTAGAATCTGATGAAAATAAATTCATCAGTTGATATGAACCAATTAGGATAATTCTGCAAATTATTCCCATTGTTACAGACACTTGTCAATGATATTCTGCCTTTAACATTATCACAAAATCAAGGAAACACTGATGACAAAACTGTGTGTAAGCCAAGTTAAATAAGTTGCATTACCTACTAATTGTACACTAATATGCATGGAAAAGGCTAGGAAAAATGTTCGTTATGAATCATATAATTCTTTGACTTGGGCTACAAGTGCATCACATGATTTCTTGGCATCTCCTAAGTACATTCCTGTGTTTTCTTTGAAGAATATTGGATTATCAACAGCTGCATATCCTACACCCAAACTTCTCTTCATTACAATAACCTGGAAATATAGAATGATAATATAAAAATAAGGTGCTATAAATAAAATGTATGACATCAACATAGACAAGGCATAACATGCAAAATGTCATCACCTGCCATTTGTTACAGACACTAACCGCAAAAAGTCTTCATTTTAGACTGGGCACATTGTGTATAATTATGCTATGTATAAGGTATAATTTGTATTAGGTATGCTATGTATAAAATATGCCGTGTATAAAGTATACTGTGTATACTGTATAAGTGGTAATTTTGCCTAATCATTTAATTTGCCTGTTGCCTTATTTTTACCAGGTTCGGGAAATTAAATGTCGGAAACATTATCTTCATTATGTTTAATGGTAATGGTATAATAATGGTATAATGAGTATAACGTATGCTATGTATAAGGTATATGCTGTGTAAAAGTCATACTGTACCTGTTCACTGTTCCACACTCTCAACACTGGCATGCCAGCAATGATAGAGTTAGGGTCATCTTCTGCTGCAGAATTCACTGTGTCGTTGGCTCCAATGACTAATACTAGATCTGTAGTGGGGAAATCATCATTTATCTCATCCATCTCAAGTACAATGTCATATGGC